GGGGCGGGGCGGTGCGGGGGGTATTGAAGCGAGCGATACTCGGGGCGGCAGGTACTGAAGTGAGCGGTGCGCGGTGCGGTGCGGTGCGTACTGAAGCGGGCGGTGCGGAGGGTGTTGAACAGAGCAGGGTGCGGGGCGGTAGGTACTGAAGCGGGGTCGTGCGGTGGGCACTGAAGCGAGCGATGCGCAGCGCAGTAGGTCTTGAGGCAAGCGGTGTGGGGGGCAGTGCGGTGGGTGTTGAAGCGAGGGGTGCACAGGAGAGTGGGTATTGAAGTGAGCAGGGTGGTGCGGTGGGTATTGAAGGGAGCGGGGCGCGGTGTGGTGGGTATTAAAGCAAGCAATGCACAGGGCAGTGGGTATTGAAGCAAGCAGGGTGGTGTGGTAGGTACTGAAGCGAGCGGTGCGGGGCAGTGGGTATTGAAGCGAGCGGTGCATGGTGCGGTGCGGTGGGTATTGAAGTGAGTGTTGCACAGGGCAGTGGGTATTGAAGCGAGCGGAGCGGTGCAGTAGGTATTGAAGCAAGCGGCGTGCGGGGCAGTGGGTACTGAAGCGAACGTGGTGGTGGGTATTGAAGCGAGCGGTGCACGGTGCGGGGCAGTGGGTATTGAAGCAAGCGGCACAGTGCGGTGGGTATTGAAGCGAGTGGAGTGGTGCGGTGGATACTGAAGCGAGCAGTGCATGGGGCAGTGGGTATTGAAGTGAGCGGGGTGGTGCGGTGGGTATTGAAGCGAGCGGTGTGTGGTGTGGCGTGGTGGGTATTGAAGCGAGCGGGGTGTGGGGCAGTGCGGTGGGTATTGAAGTGAACGATGCACAGGTCAGTGGGTATTGAAGCAAGCGGTGCGGGGCGGTGTGGTGGGTACTGAAGCGAGCAGTGGAGCGGTGCGCGGCATCCCATGGAGGTGCGGTGCGGTGAGGGCAGCACAGGGCCCTGGCTTTGCCGTGGCGAGGGGCGGTGGGCAGGCATCCCCTGCTCAGCTTGGCCAAGGGCATCGCTGGCCCTGGGCTCCCCCAAACCGGTGGCCTTGGCCAAGCCGCGC